GACCAAGGTCCCTCTGGCTGTGGGGATCGGGAGAGGGGGAGGCGCAGGGGCCAGTCTGGGCCTGTCTCCCCTGCCACGTGCCCCATGGATCAGAGACCCCTAGGACTGGCAGGGGCCTTGCGAGGCATCGAGTCCAGTCCCCTGCCCCATGGCAGGACCCGGCACCGTTTAGACCATCCTTGACGGGCGTGTGCCCCAGATCCCCTTCGCTACCCCCAGGGTGGAGACCCCACACCTCCCTGGCTGCCGTGTAAGCCCCTTGCTCCTTGTCCTGTCCTCGGAGGCCGAGGGGAACAAGTTTTCTCTCTCCTCCTTGGGACCCCCTTTTAGGTACCTGAAAACTGCTCTCAGGTCCCCTCCAGTCTGCTCCTTTCCAGACTAACCAAGCCCAGCCCCTCCAGCCTCCCCTCCTAGCTCACGCTCCGGCCCCGTGGTGCTCAGCCTTTCTTCATTCCCGACTCCCGGAGCCGGGAACGTTTTTGTTGAGCAAAAACACCAACAATCCGGGAAGATTTTGTTGCCCCAGGAGTACCGGTCGCTGGGATTCGGATCTTTACTTCGAACTCCCTACTCGTGCTGTGTGTAGCCGCGGGCACGGAGTCCAGACGAAGGGGGATTTAAAAATGGCGGCGCCCGGGAACATGCAAAGGAAGCCCGAGATATTTAAACCCCGGGCTTCATTTGCAACTCCGCTTGCCCTCATTTGCCTATCTAGCTCGAACTAACGAGCTAGTGTAGACGTACCCTTAGATATTTACCTGCTTATAATTCTTATAACCTGCTTTTGAAAGAAAAAAAGATCAGCATCTGTAGCATGGAGGACTACATTTCCAAAGGCAAAAAAGCCTGAGGTGGGATCTGCTCTTTTAGCCTGGGTCCATAGGTATTTCCCTCGTTTATACTCCCCCCCCTGCTCCATGGGGGCGACGCTGACCCCGGTTCCTGCCCCTGCAGGGCAACGTGCAGAACGACGCCTGGATCTTCGCGCTGGCCGTGCTGCTCAGCAGCACCCTGGTCTACAACAGCCTGGGCACCATCGACCAGTACGCCCTGGAGCAGCTGCAGTATCCTGCCCCGGCAGGGGGCCAGGAGTCGGGGAGCTGGGGCGGCAGGGAGCAGCTGTCACAGGGGTCTGGGATGGTCCTAGGACCCAGGGCCACCCTGGGGCGGGTTCCTGGGGAAATGGGGCTGTGGGCTGGGGGTGCTGGGCTCAGAGACACCCCGCAGGGGGCGCTGCACCTCGGGT